AAAAAAATGTTGACTTTTTATTAACCGGGCAAAATAAACGTTCATTTTCTATGCTTTTTAAATTATTTTAAAAAATTTAGTTGAAAATAAAAACAGAAAATAATTTTGCATAATGTAATAACTATTTTTAATTAAAAATTTTCCAAACCTTTAATTTTTTTGGAAAAATTGACTAGTGTTTTGGTGATGTAAAATTGTATGTAATTGCTAAAAAAAATTATTAAATAGCAAAAATGAAAATGGTTAACCGGCCGAGAGGCACTACGGATATTTACCCACCCCACTCGTTTTTTTATCAGAAAATCCGTCAGTTGCTAGAAGCAACTTTAACGAAAAATAATTTTCAACCGCTTATTTTTCCGACTTATGAATATGCCGAATTATTTAATACTTCCTTAGGTTCGGCTACTGATATTATTCATAAGGAAATGTTTACTTTTCCGGACCGCAAAGGGCGAAATTTAGCCCTGCGACCTGAAGGAACAGTCGGAGTTGCCCGGCTTATTCTCCAAAATCGGTTGTTTGCTGCCGGTTACCCTTTAAAGTTCTACTATTGAGCCAATATGTTCCGTTACGAACGGCCGCAAAAAGGCCGTTATCGGGAATTTTGGCAGTTAGGAGTAGAATTAGTTAACGCAGCCGGAGTTAGGGCGGACTACCAAATACTAAAACTAGTTCAAGATATTTTTGCCGCCTTGGGGATTAATCAATTTACTTGTAATTTAAATTACTTAGGAAGTAAATCAACCCAAGAAAAATACAAACTAGAATTAAGAAAATTTTTAGCCGCCACTACTCCGGACTTATGCGATGATTGCCGCAGAAGAGCCGAAGAAAATCCGCTACGGATACTAGATTGTAACTTGTGCCCCAAAAAAGTTTCTTTTCCGAATTATCAAATGGCTTGAAGCCCCAAAGACCATGATTATTGGCAAGAACTTCAACAAATCTTAACTCGTTTTAATTTTCCTTACCAAGTTAATCACCATTTAGTTCGGGGTTTAGACTACTATACTGGCCTGGTTTTTGAAATTGATTTAGGAGAAGAAAAAGCCGTATTAGGCGGAGGACGTTACGACCAACTTTTTCAACAATTAGGAGGAATTGCCTTGCCAGCAGCGGGTTTTGCGATAGGAATTGACCGTCTGGTAAATTACTGCGAAGAAAAGCAACTCTTAAAAAGCGAAAACCAAGTTGATATTTTTTTCTTGCTACTCGACACGGCACTTTTTCCTTCGTTGCTAACTTGAAAAAACGAACTGGAAAAAGACTTTTTGGTTGAATATAACTTAAATAACAAGAAAAAATCCCATATTCCGCAAATTATTGCTCATTACCAGCCGAAAATATTAGTCGTATTAGGAGAAAAAATTCTGCTAAAAGATTGTCGGAAAAACCAAGAATTTTTGCCGAAAAAAGAGAAATTAATAGAGCAACTTTATAAATTACTGAAAGAAAATTAATTTTAGCAATTATATAAGCAATTACCCTAAAAAAATGTTGACTTTTTATTACCCGGACAAAATAAATATCCTTTTTCTATGCTTTTTAAATTATTTTAAAAAATTTAGTTGAAAATAAAAACAGAAAATAATTTTGCATAATGTAATAACTATTTTTAATTAAAAATTTTCCAAACTTTTTATTTTTTTGGAAAAATTGACTAGTGTTTTGGTGATGTAAAATTGTATGTAATTGCCTTAATTTTTTTCGTGCATGAAATTAAAAGGAAGAATCTTGGCGGTCCTGACGGGAATCGAACCCGTATCCTCCGCTAGACAGGCGGAAATAATAACCACTATACCACAGGACCTTACTCTAAGTTTTCGGCAATCCGAAAATACGAAAGCAAAAATTCTAATTCTGGTACCCAAAGCCGGATTTGCACCGGCACGGAGAAATCTCCACGAGATCTTAAGTCTCGCCTGTCTACTATTCCATGCATTTGGGCAATATTATAAAATTAATTTTGTGATAGTTGGCGAACAAAAATCTTGACTAAATCGTCATAATATTAATTTTAATAACCCAAAACGAAGTGGGAAGCAAGTGAAAGTTCAGTTCCCAATAAACGAGTTTCTGTTGTTTTTCAAGTGAAGTCAGCAACATCATCCGAATATATTCCT